ATCCGTGTCAGTCAGCTGTTGGCTCTTACTCTGGCCAATGGAATCTTCCTGCCTATTCGTTGCAGTCAGCTATTGGCTCTCACTCTGGCCAGTAGAAAATGACCGCAAACTACATGAAAACTGCCGTAGGAGCATGAAAAATCGATTATTTCCACTATCGAAATTGCGAAATGCAAAGTCGGTCTTGGCCTTTCCGCTAATATATATATATATATATATATATATATATATATATATATATATATATATATATATAGAAAAATTACTTAACTTTAATATATCAATTTTACATCTTGTGTTCATTAGATTAGAGCTTTCAAACATGCAATTTTTTTCGTCTACATCTGGGATTTTTTTCGCTATTTAAGTAATTTTATAACACGCCAAAGAAGCGTGTTTTTTTTTTTTACTGGGAACATGTAAGAAGCCTTCGTCTTATAAACATCAATTAATCAAAATAATATATCAACACTTTTACATCCGTCAAATCAGCCTCGCAAACCATTGGTAGTAAGCTTAGACTTCATTGGCTGCCAAATAGATTAACGCAAGCTTACAGTTGCGTGATGCAATGTTTGAATGGTCACATATGTGAAAATGTTTTTTTTCTTTAAAATGAAAGTATGCGAGGAAAATATCTTGTGATCTCTGAGGATATGTGAATATCATATCCAAGGATATTTTCCTCACACACAGTTTTGTATTTCTTCGTTTAAACTGAGGAAGCCAAAGAGAGCAGAGGCTTCTCCTGCGAAGCGCGTCTTTAATAAAATTCTCGATTTTGTCTCATCTTCAATTTATTTAGGTAACCATTATTTATCCAACAAGCATGAATAGTCACATATTTCTAAAAGTTCACTATTAAGATCCATAATTTGAAATGTTTATTTTTAGGGGTCAGTTAAACAACAGATATATATATATATATATATATATATATATATATATATATATATATATTTATATGGTCTGGTTCCTTGTACCTCGGTGATAGTCCAAGGTAGAACCAATAAAGAAGAACACGAACACGGATATGGAATAACACAGATAGATTACAAACAGGAATATATACAGAGAAGTAGAAAGCGTTAGTACGAACAATCAGGTTTAGTAGTAATTGTCTGAACGCGACTCTATTTCGGACTGCCTTTGACTCGACTGACTGACTCACTCGCTCTGACTGACTGACAGACTCCTGACGGACCTCACTCCAGACTTCAGACTGAACGGTATTTAGTCACCCCCCTACGAGGGCATTTTATGGCACAAGGCCGCATTAACGTGGGATCTTCGAGCCCGTGGGGCCGGCCAAAAATATGCCCCTTGAACCCGTATAAACGGGTTTAGGGTCGGTTTACCTCCCCCGAAATAGACTCCGCCCTTCGGCGTAGCCTCGTTCGGGTTCCTCCCCGCCCGAAGGCAGAGCGTTCAACCGATCATCCGGTCGCCCGACTTCAGGCTGAACTCCCTGCTTCCTCTTGAGGCGCAGTATTTATTACGTATGGAATAGTTCATTATGTTATTATGGGTAAGGTCCCCTAACATGTATATATATATATATATATATATATATATATATATATATATATATATAGGACTCTCCCGTCGTTTTTCGACGTATGAGTGTCAAGCAACTAAGTTACTAGGAACCAAATATCCAGAACCCTGCATATATGATTTGATTATAGTTGTTACGTCTTGAATATGTCTCTGCGTAGTAGCAGGCGTTGTGCAGTTCTCAGTGTCCTGAATAGCAACCCGGTTGGCTACATATACGCCATTGTTGGTCTGTTGTGACTCTTGTAAATATAGATCATGTTAGGTGGAGCGAGGTATAAATAAATATAGAGATATGAACATAGATAGATAGATAGATAGATAGATAGATAGATAGATAGATAGATAAGAACAGACTCTACATTACGCGGACTGTTATCCTCATCTTCATTGCCATATTCACCACGTTTTGGCCGTTGCACGCTCCAACCTTCTTCATCTGATTGGACACGTGCTCCAGTGGATATAGACGTTGGTTAGCTCCAGGGACTAGAAACAAAGACTTGTGAGTTCAATACCAGTATACACCAGCTATGAACCAAAACTTGGAGAGTTGAGTTAAAAGGGAAATAACTGAGACATCCTGAAGGGGCATGGCACGTGGAACTAGAACAATCGACCTCAGTGGACGAAATAATGTGTTCGATTCAAAATTCCAATCACTTTAAGATAGGTACTTTCACGTGATCGCTGAAAAGGACGCCAAACTTGACGAAAACAAAATGTTAGCATCTAAATGTTTGTTATTATTAAGAAGAAAGAATTAAGTTTTTTTAATCATTTTTTAAAAATTTTTCTCTTTTTTTAGAACATTCTAAATTTTGATTGAAAACCTTGTTTCTCTTTTTGTCCAGCAGAACTACTAAGTAACATATAAAATTTTAGCGCGTTATTTTTTTCTGTATGACAGACATTAATTTTGAAAATCTTGCAAAAATGAAAATAATTGTCAGATTTTAATGAAACTTTCTGTAACTATTTACAAATGATGGAACTTATTATAAATATGCTTTCTTTTTTAAAGTCATGGCAAAAATATTTTTTCACATGTGTTACGCACCCCCATAACTAATTGTACGAAAATTCTATAATTTCAATTTTGGCCAGATTAGTGATTATATGTGTTAAAAGCACAAGTCTTTGAGGAAACCAAATCATGTTTTTTGTTTGTTTGTTTGTTTTTTAGTTGCACCACCTCTACCTGAAAATCATCTCTGAATTGTAACATACAAAAAACTCAATAAAACAAAAATATTATTTAATTTCAAAAGCTTTTAATTGCTTTTATTTATTTTAATGAACATGGACAATATTGTCTGAAAGCAAAAAGATATTTCGATGAAAAATGAATTTTTAAAACAATTATTTGTTATTTCTTAAATATTCTATCATTTTTACATCAAATGTTGTTAATTCTTCTAAAATTAGGAAAAAGTTTGTAGAATGTAACGGAATGTTGTTATTAAGTAGATATATATTTACAGATTATAATTTCCAAAGCTTCTTACAAACTAACGAACAACATTATATAAAAAATATATAATTTGTGTCAATAATACGACTGCAAATCAAATCTAAGTTAAGCTTGTTTCAAAATATTTTAAATAAACATAATAATTTCTCATTTTCTTAAAAATAAGTTTTGAAAAAATTATAATTGATTTTTAAAAGATTTTCAAACTGCTATTTTCATTTTTTTTTTATAAAATGGAAAAAATGGCTGACATGATCGATTATCTGTCAATTTTGCTGACTAAAAAATAAGATTTTTAACGAAAATTTTGGACGTACTAGGATCGATTAAAAAATGTGAAAATATACCGCAAAAATTACTTTAATCTTTCCTCTTAATAATAACATAAACATTTGGACGCTAAAATTTGGTTTTGATCAAGTTTGGCGTCTTTTTCATCATGGTATGCTCTTTTTAGCGATCTCATGATGGTACCTAATTTAAGAGGGCCGGAGCGTAAAACGGCCGAATATGTGAATATAGCAATGAAGATGAGGATAGCAATCCGAGTTATGTAAATAATGCAAATGATAGATAGATAGATAGATAGATAGATAGATAGATAGATAGATAGATAGATAGATAGATAGATAGATAGATAGATAGATAGATAGATAGATAGATAGATAGATAGATAGATAGATAGATAGATAGATTATGAATAGACTTAGATAGATAGATAGATAGATAGATAGATAGATAGATGGGTGGTTACTCATTCCACACTACACTCATATGCTAGGGTGACTAACTGATCCCTTCTGCAGACGCCTGCTCAGACAATACTAATAGAGCCAGGTAGCGTTTTATACTGCAACTATGCTGTTTCTGATCAACAGTTTGAACAAGGCCAGTGTGATGAAACCCACTTCGTGCTATGCCGTGTTCAAGACGTAGATCAGGCAGTGAAATCTCTGGATCGACAACAACGAACAAAAATTGTCATCACAGATTTAAAAAAATAATACAATAGTGAACTGTTACAAAATGTTTAAATACCTTGTTTCCTAAGTTTGTTAATATCTATCTATCTATCTTTCTTTTCTTTTTTCTATCTATCTATCTATCTATCTCTGTCCGTTCATATATATATATATATATATATATATATATATATATATATATATATATATATATATCCTGGTTTTTTCTTATCTATCTATCTATCTCTATCTATCCCTGGTTTTTCATTATCTATCTATCTATCTATCTGTCTGTCTGTTCTATCTGTCTGTCTGTCTATTTATTCATTCATCTATCCTGGTCTTTTCATTATCTATCTATCTATCTATCTATCATTCATTCATCTATCTATCAATTCTCGTCTTTTCCTTCTCTATCTATCTATCTATCTATCTATTCTCGTGTTTTCCTTCTCTATCTATCTATCTATCTATCTATCTATCCTGGTGTTTTCGTTATCTATCTATCTATCTATTCTCGTCTTTTCATTATCTATCTATCTATCTATCTATCTATCTATCCTGGTCTTTTCATTTTCTATCTATCTATCTATCTTGTGTGAGTGTATATGTATGAGTATTGTGTATGTGCAAATATGAGTGCGTGAAGGTGCGAGTTTAAGTGTGTGAACGCGTGTGTTCTTTTTTTCGTTTGTATTTTCTCAATGTTGGTTTGTCCATTTCGACCGCAGTACGTAAATTGGTATACACGTACGTGTATGGCGCAGAGTGAGCTTTTACAATGCGGGTGGAAGGCCACGGGGCACATGATGGTTGAGGTGGTGGCGATATTGGTTTGGTTAGGGGTGTGGCCTTGGGAGACAGGCCGTGGCGCCGACCTGTCGACTGCTGACGCACAGCACCCGGTAGGTGCCATAAGAGAGGACCGATGCCCTTCCAAATACAAGCAAGCAACACAAAGTTCAATTAATAGAAACTGTCACGTAGAAAGTGCCGACGTTGTACCTTTAAAAAAAAGAAAAAAAAAGAAAAGAGGACGTACGGGAAAGAAAGAAAGAAAGAAAGAAAGAAAGAAAGAAAGAAAGAAAGAAAGAAAGAAAGAAACTTTTTTTGGTCGAAATGGCAAGAATTAAAGTCTATTTCGATTATAGGATATTTTTTTCTTTTTTACACTTTTTAAGCCAACCGATATTATTTGACCGAGTAGAAGTGTGTCAAATATATTTAGGAAAGGCTTAAGAAAGAAAGAAAAAGAAAGAAAGAAAGAAAGAAAGAAAGAAATAAAGAAAGAAAGAAAGAAAGAAAAAGAAAGATAGAAAGAAAGAAAGAAAGAAAGAAGACAATCGAGAAAAATAGAAAACAACCGATAAAAAAGAATATGGGAATTCAACTAAGAAAAAGACGGCGAATTTAAAAGAAAGAAAGAAAGACTGAGAAGTAAAAAGAAAAAGAATACGTAAGCATTAAGAAAGAAAGAAAGAAAGAAAGAAAGAAAGAAAGAAAGACTGAGAAGTAAAAAGAAAAAGAATACGTAAGCATTAAGAAAGAAAGAAAGAAAGAAAGAAAGAAAGAAAGAAAGAAAGAAAGAAAGAAAGAAAGAAAGAAAGAAAGACTGAGAAGTAAAAAGAAATAGAATACGTAAGCATTAAGAAAGAAAGAAAGAAAGAAAGAAAGAAAGAAAGAAAGAAAGAAAGACTGAGAAGTAAAAAAAAAAGAAAGAAAGAAAGAAAGAAAGAAAGAAAGAAAGAAAGAAAGAAAGACTGAGAAGTAAAAAGAAATAGAATACGTAAGCATTAAGAAAGAAAGAAAGAAAGAAAGAAAGAAAGAAAGAAAGACTGAGAAGTAAAAAGAAATAGAATACGTAAGCATTAAGAAAGAAAGAAAGAAAGAAAGAAAGAAAGAAAGGGAAGTTAAAAAAATAAGAAAACAATATGTAAGCATTAAGAAAGAAAGAAAGAAAGAAAGAAAGAAAGAAAGAAAGAAAGAAAGAAAGAAAGAAAGAAAGAAAGAAAACAATAGTGGAAAAAAGGAAAATAACTTAGAAAAAAGAAAAAAGAATATGAGAATTCTTCTAAGAAAAATACGGAGAATTTAAAAGAAAGAAAAAAGAATGAATGAATCTAAAGAATGAGTCAAGCAAAATAAAGAATGGAAAAAGAAAGTAAAATCTAACAAGGTATCGTAAAGCAGAATAAAGTGAACTAAAATAAAAAGGAAAATAGAAATGAATGATTGAAAAAAAGAAGTTAAGAAAAAAAGGTTTTAAAGGAGGGAAAAGTGGGAATATGTAAGGAAGAAACAAAGTAAAGAAAGAAAGAAAATAAAGAAAAGGAACAATGGAAAAAAATGAAAGAAAGAAAAGCCGAAAATAAAAAGAAAGAAACAATATGTACAAGGTAAATGAAAAAAAAAGAAAGAAAGATAAAGGGAAGAAAATGGAGAAATAAACAAAGTGATATATAAAACTAAAAAGAAACCAATCTGATGGCAAATAGGAAGAAAGGAGGCGATATATAAAAATGAAACCTTAACAAAATAGTCGAGGAAGGCGATATATAAAAATGAAAAAGTAGAAAAAGAGAAGAAAGGAGGCGATATATAAAAATGAACAGGTAGAAATATCGACGATAGAAGGCGATATATAAAAATGAAAAGACAAAGTGGAAAAGACGATGTATAATAATAAAAAGAAAACGTTGAAAATGAAAGAGATAAAAAGAAGAAAAACAAAACGAACAAAATAAAAAATTGAAATAAAAAACTAACAAACAATGTGATGCAGAATAAATGAAATAAAAGTAAAAGGGGAAAAATAGAAATAAATCATAGAAAAATTATCGACGTTGGGTAAGAAAAGAGTAAAGCTTATAGCTATCTAAGAAAGAAAGAAAGAAAGAGTAAGAAAAAGAAGAAAAGAAAGAAAGAAAGAAAGAAAGAAAGAAAGAAAGAAAGACTGAGAAGGAAAAAAGAAAAGAATACGCAAGCATTAAGAAAGAAAGAAAGAAAAGAAAGAAAGAAAGAAAGAAAGAAAGAAAGAAAAAAGAAAAGAAAAGGAAGAGAGAAAGAAAGGAAGAGTAAAAGAAAGAAAGAAAGAAAGAAAGAAAGAAAGAAAGAAAGAAAGAAAGAAAGAAAAAAGAAAGACTGAGAAGGAAAAAGAAAAAGAATACGAAAGCATTAAGAAAGAAAGAAAGAAAGGAAGGAAGGAAGAGTAGAAAGAAAGGAAGAGTAGTAAGAAAGAAAGAAAGAAAGAAAGAAAGAAAGAAAGAAAGAAAGAAAGAAAAAAGAAAGACTGAGAAGGAAAAAGAAAAAGAATACGAAAGCATTAAGAAAGAAAGAAAGACTGAGAAGGAAAAAGAAAAAGAATACGTAAGCATTAAGAAAGAAAGAAAGAAAGAGTAGAAAGAAAGAAAGAGTAGAAAGAAAGAAAGAAAGAAAGAAAGAAAGAAAGAAAGAGTAGAAAGAAAAAGAAAGAAGACAATGGTGGAAAAAAGGAAAATAATTTAGAAATTGAAATAAGAATATGGGGATTCTACTAAAAAAATACTGAGAATTTAAAAGAAAAAAAGAAAGAAAGAAAGGAAGGAAGGAAGGAAGGAAGAAAGGAAGGAAGAAAGAAAGAAAGAAAGAAAGAATGAATGAAATAAAGAAAGTGTGAAGGAAAGAAGGAAAGAAAGAATGAAAAAACCAAGGAATGAAAAAGAAGTCACTGAAAAAATGAAAAATAACAGAAAAATTCAAGGCTCCATAAAACGCATTACTTTCACTTCAACCAAAACTGAAATCATAGCTCTCCAGTATTTTCTGTTCTAAGCAACATTTAACTCTTTACCATCAACGAATAAAAGAATAAAAGAAATAAAGAAAGAAAGGATGAATGAAGGAAGGAAAGAAGGAAATAATTAAAGAAAGAAGGAATGAAAAAGAAATTTTGAAAAAATGAATTAAAGCAGGCAAATACAAGGCTCCATACAACGCATTACTTTCACTGCAATCAACACTTTTCGCATCTTTAAGATGTAGGCGATCTTTGCTCTCCATTTGTTTCTGTTCTAAGCAACATTTAACTCTTTGCCATCAACTCTTTGTCTCCGCTCGAACATCCTTTCACATAAAATCCTTAGATAGTTTAATCTCCGTTTCTCTCTACCTCCCCTGTTCACCATTTTATCATTTCACCCCAAACACGCCAATGAAGCCACTAAGACGCAGGGGTTTACTAAGTTTGAAAGAATATAAGTATATTTACCCTGGCTTCACCACGGAGTCGGGTTGTGACACAAGTTTGGGTTTAATGTGTGGAACCCGAACGCGTATACACGGGCCAAAAACAAATATTCCCCGAGACCCCGCATCTGTCGGTTGCGCCGACCTAGGTGCGAGCAACGATCCCTTTCTCTAGTGTTATAAGAGGGTGCAGCCTCGAGTATCTGTTCCCCAGGGCTGGGCACCACGCAGTGTAATTTCCCTCAGTTGCCTCTCTGTCCGCCGACGGAGCCGCAGCCGAGTCGCACTCTGCCTGAAGACAGAGGCGCAACTGACAGATAAAACCTACCCGGCCTGTGCCAGAAGAAAAGAAAAAAGAATTATTAAAGAGAGTTAACAATAAAACAACAGGAATCACCGGGACAGGAGATAACGATTGACATTGCATTAAAATTTTTTGAAGATCAAATTCGGCTGGAAAGTTAAAAATCCGGAAGTGAGTTCCACAAGAGAGAAGTAAAGAAGGACAGATTTTCACGTAGAGCTCCGCATTCTTTTCTTCGTTACCAAAAGAAATCCTCCTGTCTCGCAATACTCTGCCCAGAATTTAGAATGCGTCTTTGGCCATCCCAATACGTCTACGGATCTCAGTGTCACAGTTACCATCCTCTGTCAAAACCGTTCCCAGATATTTAAACTTCTGCACCTGCCTGATCTTAGTGTCCCCGACCTGCAAATCGCTTTTCGGGCTAATCCTTTTACTGAAGGACTATGCATTCTGTCTTCTTGTAGTTTATGCTTATTTACTCCTGTTTAATCCTAAGTTTGATCGATTCGGTGAATTAAAAATGGCAACTCAAAAATAACTTTTAATCTGATGTTATATCGTGTAGTTTAGAATAGGAAAAAAATTCAACCCGGTTTGGTGTTCGTCATTTATTCGATCCTGCCTCGTAATACACCGTCGAACTTTTGGAATGCGTCCTTAGACATCCCACTACGTCTTCGGATCTCATTGTCGCACTTACCGTCCTCGTCAAAACACTTCCCAGATATTTAAATTTCCGCTCCTGCTTGATCTTAGTGTCCCCGACCTGTAAATCGCTTTTCGGGCTCATCCTTTTACTGATCACCATGCATTCTATCTTTTTGCAGTTTATGCTTAATCCTTTCTTCTCGCTAATCCTTCACTAATTTCTGTAGGAGGATTTATAATTTCTTTTCCGTGTCTGCTACCAGTACTGTGTCATCTGCGTATCTTATGTTGTTAAGATTGTGGCTGCCAATGCTAAGTCCCAGTAGGCTTTCCAATTCTCTCAGAATTGCCTCGCTGTATAGGTCCGGCGAGAAGACGCATCCTTGCCTTACGCACCTTTCTATTTTTGTATATTCACTGAACTCGTTCCCTATGCGCATGCATGCTGTTTCCTACCAGTATAAGTTCTTGGTTATTCTGATATCTTTCCCGAATATACCAAGATTGCTGGTATACCATAAATAAATAATTACGAAAACAAGTTTCTTTATTCATAAATTGATAAAAAATATCTGTAAATATGATTTAACGAAGATAATACACACTAGAATGCTTCCTCTGTGTTGTCTATCCAAAGCTTAAGAAAAATGTCTCCAGCACCTCAATTTATCCAGGTACATTAATTGAAGACAACAAAAATAATATTTATCGACCTGCGTCTGCTGTTCCGCGACCGTTATCATCGCATAGCAAATTTCTGAGCAAACATAACATGTTATCTTTGATGGTGAACATCTCAGTTGTAATGTCCATGTAACCAATCTGATGATGGCTCAGGTGAGCCGAAAGCTTTGATCGAAGAATAGCATAATAAAATATATCCAAATGTGCGACAGTTTTGTCTTTATTTTCTCCTGATATTAAAGCCACTATATGAAGCTTAGAACGGCTCCTGATCAAACATAATAGACATTCGTTGTCTTTTATATTTAATAATATATGTTTGAATAATGATCTACTGCCCCTATACATATAATGATCTGCTACTATATATATATATATATATATATATATATATATATATATATATGGTGGCAGCAGATCACTGGTCAGCGAATCGGTAGTGAATTATGCATCGAAAAATAATTCATATTTATCTGTATCTCACTCATTTAAAACCGTTATTTAACTCCTCTCTTTAAAACTTCTCTCTGTTAAATTTTTATTCCCACCTTCACCTTTAGGCCTTTCCTTTTCTTCTTTCTTCTGTTACACCCTCTCCCTAGAGCTTTCATACATTTCCCTCTCACATTTGTTTCCCACTCCCACACATACACTCTCACTAAAATTATGTTTTTTTATACCCGAAGTTATATTTTCCCTTTCTTTTTTGAATTTGTAGGTCTGATGAATTGGATCGTGATTACGATTCCAATGTAATATATATATATATATATATATATATAACATGTATATATATATATATATATATATATATATATATATATATATATATATATATATATATAAAACATGTGTATATATATATATATATATATATATATATATATAATATATATATATATATATACAGTGTAACCCGGATATAAGAGACCGGATATAAGAGAAACCCGGATATAAGAGATTTTCTCTGGTCCCAAATTAGAGCCTGTGTTAATGTATATAAAAATAGACCAAACCCGGATATAAAGAAACCGGATATAAGAGACTTCTCCGGTCCCGACAACAACTCTCTTATATCCGGGTTACACTGTATATATATATATATATATATATATATATATATATATATATGACATTCAATCTTCGGTTATATGGGCTTTGTGAGAAGATGCTAAATACTGGCCTTCTACTGCGTACTTCTTTTTAAATTCATACATAATTATAAACATATATATTACACCCCAGAACGCTTCCTTAGTGATGTCTATTCTGGGCTCATAGAAAGTTTCGGTCCTCCATGACATCAGACTTTCTCTCCCATGGACCCATAGACCCAGCCAAGAACGAGGATTTCTCGACTAGCATTCTGGCATCGTTTCCAAGATTTGTAACCAATATTTGTGCCGACTCTGCAGAGTAGAAATGGAAGCTCTCATTAGATAATGGGAGGATTTCCACGGGCAGACACTGGAGGACTCAAGTTACCTCCTTCGGTGTTATATAACCAGCCAGTTGAATGGCCAAGGGCAAAGTGTAAATTTGTATTTGTATCTCGTTGAAATGAGAACAGAGTAATTCAGAATCGTTGTTGTTACTTTACAGCCTCGAACGAAATCATTTGATTCAATTCTGTTTAGGAATTCTGACTAATCGGAATTTGTTTAATTTTCTGGCCAATCAAAGCGGAGAATTCTGTTTTGCTCATAAACGTTATTCTAAATACTCATTCAAATTGGCGGTTATCGTTTTCAGCCAATGAGAAAGGTAAGTTTTTATTTGGTTTGTTTTATTTTACGGTATATCAACCTCAATGGGTTATTTAATGCCGACAAAATGTTTATTGCTGTTAATATACTTTCAAAAATATATTGATGGTAATATTTTTTTCTCCAAAAATGTATTACTGGTAATAATTATTTAAAAAATGTATTGCTGATAATATTTTCCTCAAAAATGTATTCCTGGTAATATTTTTTCTTCAAAAAATGTTTTGCTTGTAATAATGTATTTCCGGTAATATTTTTTCCTCAAAAAATTTACTGCTGGTATTAAAACTATTTTTATACTTTAATAGTGTTTTGACCCCAGTTTGGGGGTTAACTATTTGCCCATAACTGGGGCCCTAACAGGTACTACCACCCCGGGTCAGGGTGGATCTGGAAACACCAGCAGTTAAGAGGTGGTTCCACACTCCTCATAAACTCCTGATCAGAGGCCTTGCTGCTGGACGTAGTTTACCGTCATACCTAGGACCAGTGGCGTAGCTAGGGGTGCGGACCACCCCGGGTGCCAGCACAGGAGGGGTGACACAATGTCACCCCCAACAAAATTTTTCAACCAGGCTAAGGTGCCAAAATAGTCTGAAAACAGTGGTGGAGACACAGGGTTTCGCAGACTGGCATATGACCCCCCCCCCGAAATAATTTATGACCCCCCCAGTTTTGTGCCCCGTCAGAAATGTTCAAATAAATTGTCGGGAAATTTGTGAGTAGGAAAATAGCAATGTTTTCAGCTTTTGATTTGAACTGATTATTTTGTGGTATTGGATTTTGTCTTGGATCATACATGTAAACAGTAACGTACCGGTCAGTAGAGTAAAGTAGAGGTAGAGCATGTATGAAAATTTAGCTACAGCTAACCATTCAGCATAGGGGGAATCGGGGTCATTGGGGTGACATTTGAGCGGACCGACCCGGGTGACGTTTACTCTAGCTACGCCACTGCCTAGGACGTCGGATGTAGTTTATCGTCATACCCAAGACGCGATTTTATTTGGCCCCCATGTCTATTCAAAATATTCATTTTTTTACCTCTCCTTTGAATTTACCTCTTGTTAGTTGTGAATCGATAGTTCCAAGTTAATGTCTTAGTTTTAATGATTTTTTCAAGGTGTGTTTGAACCGATTTAGTAAGTAAGGTTACCGTATTATAAACTAAAGAACAAGAAAATATATATATATATATATATATATATATATATATATATTTCTCAGATTAATTTATATCTCACATTACAGTAGATTGGAGGTTTTGAGGAGTGTGGAACCACCTCCTAATTACTATTGTTACTATGTCAACCCTGAACCGAGATGGTTACAGCCTGTAATGAAAACTAGGAGTCGAGTTCGGCCTAATTTGCCCTTATTCAATGTAACTGAATAGTCTTGTCGTTTCAGCTAAAATGGTGTGACTTATTTATTCAAATTATAAAACAGGGGAGGTAATCAGGTTTTCTTACCACATTCTCCTAGTCCTACACAGAATCATCCAGGTGACTGAGTCTCTTGACAATTCTCTGGGATCGTCTCGGTGGCAGCTAATCTGGGCGTTCAGGTGTTACGGCAATAGCCGACCAGAAGTATATTGTCTCATATCGTTTTTGCCACCTTCTTGGAGAGGGACGCTCTAATTCCGAAAGCTGGTTATCAGAGTCTGTGATAGTAAGCTCTCGTTTTGAGGGAGCTGTTCTGGTGTCGATCTCTGAATCGTCACTATCGGAGCCTTGTTCCTCAGTCTACGTTACTACCAAGAGCGAGAGATATTGCTTCAGGGGAGAGCTGCTCCTCATTCTGGATTGATAACTCGCCGGCGCGGGCCAAATCTCCGAGGGAAACGTTCGATTATGTCCCGCCGGGATGCTATATGCGCGCATAGAGTGGGTTCGCCTCGAGCAGATCCACGTTACTCACAGAAGAATCATAGTTGATTTGTCGAATATGGTTTCTAAGTAAACATGTCTCTGGCTATGAGAACCACAAAGGGAGGGAGATCCCGACCGAACTTCGCCTTGGAAATTTAAAAAAGAAAAACTTTCGTGCTATGTTGCATTAGTGCTTGTACGCAAATCTTATAGCGTCCAGAGCTTCGGTTATTACGTCTCCCCAATGTCTAAGATTCTGGTTTTCAAGTGCTAACTGTACGGTCTTCAATATTATGCCATTGTCCCTTGAAGATTTTATGGGGTAGTCCCACTTACGGCCACTCCTGGTACTAATAGGAATCTTCCTAGTTGATCAGACATAAAATAGGTCCCGCGATCTGTATGAATATAAGCTGGCGTTCCGAATATTGAGACCAGTTAGCAAAGATAACGGATGGTCGCTGTTGCACTTAAATCTGGACAGGGAAAGGCAAAAAGGAATCGCAAGTACTCGTCATCGACAGTTAGTGTATATTTGTTTCGGAATTTATTTCTTCTTTCCTAGAAGAGGGCGCTTAAAGTTTTATTGTCTTCAACCCGGACATTTATTCTCGATCATAATAATAATGTTTTCTTTCGTCATACTTCAGGACGCGTCACCCGGGACGCGGATGTAGTTTATCGTCATACTCAGGACGCGGATGTAATTTATCGTCATACCCAGGACGCGGCTGTAGTTTATCGTCTTACCCAGAACACGGATGTAGATTATCGTCTTACACAGGACGCGGATTTTGTTTACGTTTATCGCATTTCAAAATACCAGGACGCGGATGTAAAAATTTATCGTCTTATACCTTTAGTTTGACGGCATATCAAACCACAATAGTTATCAGGTTTCAAAATGTGGTAAGATTTTTTTTAAAAAATGCTTGGTTTGTTCGAACACGGATGTAGATTATCGCCTTAACATATGCTACCACCCCAAGGACGCGGAACAGCAGCAATTAAGAGGTGGTTCCACGTTTATCGTCATTTATCTCATGGGTTTATCGACGCAGGATGCGGAATTTATCGTCATACCCAGGACGCGGCTGTAGTTTGGTTCGTCTCTTGTAGGAACCTTGGTTTTAGCCAAGCTTACCCAAGACACAGATGTAGTTTATCGTCTTACCCGAGACGTGGATGTAGTTTATCGTTTTACCCTGGACGCGGATGTACTTTATCGTCTTACCCAGGAGGCGAATGTAGTTTATCGTCTTAACCAGGACGTATATTTAGTTTATCGTCTTGCCTAGGACTCAGATGTAGTTTATCGTCATACCCAGTACGATTGAACTTCCGTAGTATAAGTTAAGAATAGTTTCCATAATATATTGGGTTTAAATTTTAATTGTGGGAGAGATGGACTGTTGTATATATTGTTGATAATTTTGTCGATCGTCTATCTAATGTGGATTTAATTATTCCTCGCTGGGTTCTAAAGGGCATTTAGGTGTCTCAGTGGTAATGTATTTTTGTTATTGGTTCGTATGCTAGTGGTGATTATGCCTTGAATGAGACCTTTTGGTGAAATCGAAGTCGTTTTACTTATGTTTTATTTTTTTTACTAATGTCTCTACTATGCCTCTTTTATATTCAATGCGAAACAAATGGCCTATAAAATATTTCAAAACAAAAAAAACGGCCTCTTCTGAGAAACTATATATTTTCCTACCTACTAATTCTATCAAACTAAACATAAAAGTTGTTATACTACATCCGAAACAATAAAAGACTTCGTCAATGCTAAACAAAATAATAAGATAAAAACCTGAAGGAGGGGTTTACTCAATACTCTGTGATAATTATCACATAGAAGAAACCTCAAGGAATCTAAATAAAACATTATATGAACACAAAAGGGACATTTTACAAAATAATACGTCAAATGCGTTGGTTGCCCATCATAACGAGACTGGTCACAAGTTTGACTCGCTATTCTGATCAAAGGATCAAATAATTCACCCGGACGTAAATGTCTAAATAGTGCCTTAAACGCAAGGTCATCTACAGTAAATTTGCGCCCTGACTTGTAAAACATTTTTCACCATTCCTGGCAGAACTTCTATTATCACAGCGTGGAATCCCCACTTAGAAAAGTGATGGAAAGAAAAAGTCTCTAAATGAATTTGGCTAGATAAAAAGAAAAAAATAAATTCTAAAATTCCAAGCACCCCTCTGTCGTGCGCATGCGTAGTACTACCAGCACAACAACATTAGTCCAATGATGTCCTGAAGAACGAAACGCGTCACAAGTAAACTTTTCCTATTTGGTCATGTATGTATGTATATATATACAGTAGTGAAAGGGAACAGGTGGAGTCATAGATAGATACCAACATTGATATGAACAGACATAAGATAGATAGATAGATAGATAGATAGATAGATAGATAGATAGATAGATAGATAGATAGATAGATATGAACAAATGCTTACATAGGTAGATACATAGAGAGATCAAGAGATATGAACATAGATAGATAGATAGATAGATAGATAGATAGATAGATAGATATAATCTAGGTTGCGCCATGAGGCAAGATAAAAAAATCTGCAACTTCTACGGTAAAGAAACTTAAAGAAAATGGTATGAACACCACCCAGACCCGGTTACGGAGATAAGACCTGTTACAATTCTATGGGACTACACAATACACACTGACAGAACAATCAAAGTCAACTGCCCAGATATTGTTATTAAAGACCACAAACAAAAAAGTGCCTCCTTATTGAGATGGCAGTCCCTGCTGACTGCAATGTATCTTTGAAGATATTCAAAAAGCTGTCAAAATACAAGGACAGAAATCTCAAAATGTGGCATATGGGAACATCAACAATCCCTGTTGTAGTTGGAGCCCTAGGACTGGTTGGAAAAGATTGCAGTAGACTAATTGAAGGGATTCTTGGAAGTCTATGCCTCAAAGAAATACAAAAAATTGTTCTGACAAGTACAGCCCACACTTTACGAAGGGCTTTTTATCTAATGTTTTTTTTTTTTTTTTTTTTTTTTGTCAGTGGAAAGTGTCATGATGCCATTTCTAACCTTAGGTCCCTGGGCGGGACCCGGAAAGAAATGTGTAAACGACAGAAATCAAAGAAAATAATAATAATAATAATAATAGTCATAGGAATTTCATCACAGTATTTTGACAAGTTCACTTCAGGCATCATTGAACAACTGGATCGCCATGAATGAAGTTTTGTCACTGCTTTGTCTACCGTTAATTGCCATTAGGTTGGATATTAATTGCTTATCGAAAGCGGAATTAGCCTAATAATAGGCGAAGATAGCTTATTTAAATTATTAGTTTTCATCTTGATGTTTTCTTTGTCGCCGTAACTATCCCCATTGTACGTGTGTTTATCGTTTCTAATTGACTAAATAGAATTGATAAACACATGCACTGTTTTATTAAATACTAGCAGTAAAGCCCGGCGTTGCCCGGGGATGTAACAGTAAGAGATAGATCAAGTATCGAGCATCATAAAGACTGAAAAATAAAATTGACAAAGATTATTGTTTAAGGTTGACGGACACGCATGTCTTAATTATCATTTTTTGTTTTGTTTTGTTTTTTGGGGGTTTTTTTACGAATTGGTCAAACCCAAACTCAAACAAAAAAATTGTTTTCAATCGTTATGAGTCTATCGATTGAATAGAATTTTATCATTAACAATTGTCTTGTAAATGGAATTTTAAAGCATTCTGCATGTAAAAATAAAGAAAAATGTGTGCAAGACAATAGGAAACACTACCTGCCAAAAAAGTGAAGTTTTGTTGAAATCGGTTGAAAAATGTAGGAAATCCGATCCCATATATAAACGAACACACACACGCACAAACAACCTGGGTTTTATAATAAGTATAACTCGATATAAGTTGTCCCCCTTTCATTCTGGCGACAGAATCGTGTTTTATCGTGTTTTCAAATTGATTTCGTGCAAAAACGATTGTGTTTTTCCAATTTTGGGCGCTGTCAGAACCACCGCAAGGTAATTTTACGCAGTCCTGTGACGTTTTGTTGAAACCGGTTGAAAAATGTAGGAAATCCGATCTAATATATAAACGAACAAACACACACACACACAATTTGCGTTTTATAATAAGTAAGATTAAAATCGTTGTCTTTCTCCAAGAATCTCCTTGAAAAATCGATTCTCGTACGATCACCGAAGTTCAGCAACGTCGATCTTGGTCTCTACCTAGATTGAGTGACGGCTTAGGAATACCAGCTTAGACACTAGAAAATACGATTATCTCCTCACAGTAGATGCTGGACTATTTTCTCCCAGATAAAGAATAGACTTGAAGAAATGTAGTTCTGCCGAAGGATGCTGAGTATGATAGACGGTAAATACAAACAACGAGGAGGTATTTTTAGGAAAATTGCCGTGGGAGGTAGGCGAGCCGAGTCAAAGTTCGACTGCAGGGCTCTCCCGTGCGATTGCCTGGTCCTTCGTCCACAGCGAGCGTGTGGTGGCCGTCGCCGCAGCCGTCGGACGCGTAGCCGTGGTAAGCGGGCAAAGTAAATACTCCAAGTGCCGATTTTCGATTTTTTGTAAAAAATTAAAAAAAATAAAATTCTTATTGATTTTTTTTGTCGTTTTCAGGCAATTTTGGTTGCTGCTACTATGAAAATATTAAAACAAAAAAGTTGTTACACGAAAATACAGTCAATGCCAAAATGTAAGTATATTTGGTTAACGTCTGGAGGAAAATAGGACCAACAAAGCGACTTATATTTACAATCAGGATGAGACGGTTAAAACTTTAAGGAAACATTATAAGGAAAGGAGGTTTGGAGAATCTAACGCTCAAAGGACATACTGAAGGTTAGAGAAACAACTAGAAACCGGAAGTAGCCTATTTAATGCGTTTTAGCGCATGGTTGACATCTGATCTCTCTTCTGATCTAATTCTCACAGCCCATAGAGTCAAAGATTAGATAGCCTAAACGCAAGATGCTAGTGGCCCGCTGGCAGGCCGCCGATGATAACACTAGCGGTCCTTTGCGGGCTCTCAGTTCCTAAGGAGACATGGTCCAGGGAATAAAAGTGTTGGATTAGTGATACAAAAGTGACGACCTATAGAGTCAAAGACTAGATACCTTACACGCAAGCCGAATAATTTTCAGCGAAAAAAAGCAATTATTGATTTGTTGTTGAATACGCCCCTCCTCCTCAGACCAAATTCACTGCTCTAAAATCTTAAGGCCAAAGAAAACAAAGAAAAAAATATAGCCTTTGCGTTGTTCGACTCAAGCACTTATTTGAAAATAGCTTGGAAAAGTGGTAATAAGAAAAGGAAAAATATAAATTTAAAACCATTTTTAACATTTAATAGATAAAATTTGAATACCGGGGAATTAGGCTAAGTACTAGTTGATCAAAACTTTAAGACCATATTTAAACGAAGTTTTAATTGGTAAACACATAACGAAATGTAATCATTTTTGATCAAGCATTAGCGCAGTCAACATCTCCCAAATGGTATTTCCTGCGTTACATTAGTTAAAAACACGGTAATCAACAAAATGGTTATATAAATGTGTCAGCTGAGTACAATCTTTTGTATTTCTTTGAAGAATGGCTACCAGGAATCTCTTCAATGAGTCTGTTGGGACTTTTATTATTATTATTACTACTACTACTACTACTATTACTATGACTACCTTTGATTCTTGTATACAGATTTCCTTCCGGGTCCTAACCAGAGACCTAAGGTCAGAAATTATTTCATGATTTTTTTCCATTGATCATAAAAACAAACAAAAACAACCAAAGATCCCAGACATTTTACTTTAACATTTTAGCTTCTTTTGTACGGACAGAGTATTGACCATGAAGAGGTTTATCTTGACATCGTTCCTGCATTTAGTACATTGCATTTGCTTTCTTGTTTAAGTCCTTTGTCGCTGCTGTAGGTGCACTGTTTTACTTGCATTTCTTCACCTACTTGAAATTGCCTTCTTTTTTTATTTGTTGGCTTTTTTTATTACTATTATTATTACTAATATCATTATTATTAATAGTAGTTGTAGTATGTGCACGTGTCTTTATTCATATGTATACACTTCCGGTCAAAATCACAAGGCTAAGGAAAATACTGAAAAATATACCTTTTGTGTTGTCAGACAAAACCATTTATTTGAGTCGATCTTCGAAAAGTGACAATAAGGCAAGGAAAAAATTAAAATTAAAATCTGGCTTAGAATTTAATATGGAAAACTTGAATACTGAGAAATTAGGCTAAGTACTAGTTGGTCAAAAGATTAAGATTATATTTAAGCGAAGTTTTAATAGGTAAACACGGAACGAAAATTAGTCATTTGTGTCCAAACATTAGCGTAGTCAACATCTCCCAAATGGTATCTCCTGAGTTACATTAGGTGAAAACATGGCAAAGTCTAAAAAATTGAGTTTCAACTTGGCAAGCTCTCTCTCTATCTATCTATCTCCCTCTCCCTCTCTCTCTCTCTCTCTCTCTGCTGTAGCTGGTGAGATTGAACATAGTAAAACTGCCGTTGCAAATTTCTTATAAAAGAACCTTCAGGGATACGGAGCGAGAATTTCACGTGTTCGGTCCAAGAACGCTTAATCAGCATTGAGCAGGAGGATTCGACAGGTTGTCCGGTAAGACACCAGCAGACCCTCGAACCAGACTAAGGCTCTTACGGACGCAAAATGCAGCTCGAGAGCAATAAGACGTCACCTCCGAGAGAAGGGCTTTAAAAACAGTAAACGTATTCAAAATCTACACCCCATTCTATACCAAAAAGTTTGGTCAAACTTTGTCCATCTTTCCTTCTATCCGTCCTGTGAGTACCAGATTTTCCAAGCCTTCCTTTTTCATTACGTGTCCCAGAAATTTCAGCTGCCTCTTCCTGATGTTAAGTATGAATTTTGTTTTTGTTTGCATCTTCTCCAAAATCTCAACGCTCTGTCCATGATATCCTAAGCATCCTTCTGTAGAACCATATCTCCCTTGCCTCGAGTCTCTTCTTCATCTTTGAGCAGATCGTCCAACATTCGCTTGCCGTAAAGGAGGACAGATATCACGTAGCATTTCAGTATTTTTTTCTTTGTTACCAAAGAAATCCTCCTGTCTCTTCCTGGCTTTTGGAATGTGTCTTTGGCCATCCCAATACGTCTTCGGATCTCAGCGTCGCACTGACGGTCATCTGTTAGAACACGTTCCAGATCGTTCGCTCATCTCTCATCGTTACTTATACGCTCGGTCTATGATATCCTTAGCGTCCTTCTGTAGAACCATACCTCCGTTGCTTCGAATCTCTTCTTCATCTTTGAGGAGACCGTCCAACATTCGCTGCCGTAAAGGAGGTTAGATATCATGTAGCAGCTAAGTACTCTTCTTTGTTACCAACACCCTTAGGATCTATCTATTCTCGCCTCAGTTAAGAGAAGGGAAGACCGACGGCAGGTGAGCTTAACCAGGCCATTAGCAGCGACACCAGAGGGGATTTTCATCAACACCGATGCCTTTGGCCAGCGACGAAACTAGCGGTAGAGTCA